ACTGTTGTCTCCGAGCCATCAATAAGTTATTATATTTATTTATGTTTGCTTACTGTGTCCTAGCTTCTTGTTTCGTTTTGGTATGCCCAAATAGGCTGCTCGTATGAGCTAGTTTGATTACTGGCACCTTTGAAGCTCTAATGTCCTCTCACCAGGTGGTTAGATCTGTTACTAGGTAGGTGAGCTCAGGAGTCCGCCCACTCCTCCTGTATGGATTCAGCTCAGGTGCCCAGGTAGATAGCCACCAAGCATGTGGTGTAGACTCTCACTTACAGTCCTAGACAGACATGGGTGATTGGTGTAGGCACAGGCATCTGGCTGCAGCAGAGGGACACACTCTGAGCAAGGCAGGGGGCTGATGACCACCCCCAAGTGTCCAGGAGGAAGGCATGTCCCTGTCCCCTAGAGCACGTAGGTGGGTGGGTTTTGCAGCTGGACTATGAGCACCCAATGCTGTTGGCTGTGAGGACTGGGTGGCACCTCTTATTCATGGGCCCCTATCACAGGTGGCTAGGTGGTGTGGGTGGAGCCACCAGTCCTCAGGCCCCTGATGTGGGTAAGTGAAGACCCTGCTTAATGGGCAAAGCAGTGTCAAATGTCATGAACCTGCCACTTCACAGCTGAAACAGGTGAAGTTAGACTTCAGGTGTATATCCTGTTGTACTGTGGTAATGAGGATCTACGCTGTTCAGATGGGCCCACACAAGTCTCTGCAGGGGGAAAGGCACTCAAAGTCTGTGGATCCCTTATGCCTGTGCCTAGGCAAAGGAGCTGTGCCCACCCTGGGTTCCTGGCTTAGGGGAGCTGGCAGTTTATTTTTTCTCCATTTGTTAATTTGTTCACTCTCCAAGGCAGGGGGAATGGCCCCAGGCATGTGACGGATCCTACTTCCGGGCCACAGTTGCTGAAGCCAGTCCGGGACCCAGTGCAGAGCAGGGAGCGGGGAGGTAAATGGGAGAGAGGTTTTTCCCTAAGGGGGGTGTTTTTGATCTGTGTCGTAGGCTGTACGCAAGTACTTATCTTTTGCTGATTGAAGGCTGTTTCTCACTGGTTCTGGGTAGCAGTGTAGACTCTCTGCCACTGAGTCTCTCCTGGTGCAGAAAACGCACCTCCCGAGCACCGCTGCTTGCCTGCCTCACTGCTTTCCCCTGAGCTGATCTGGTCTGAAGGACTCAGGCTCTTGCCAGATCAGGTCTGGCAACTCCTCACTGCTTCCGAACCGTCTCTCCCCACCCCTGCTGCTCAGTCCAGTTCCTCAGCTCTGTCTTTGATGTTTGGGGCTCCAAGATTGCCATATATAATCGATTCACTTATTTTTTTCAGGTCTTTATTGTAAGAGGCTCCACCGGAAACATATAACTACTCCACCATATTGGTCCTGCCTCCCTAGAGCTGTGCATTTATTTACGGAAGGGGAGAATTCTACCACTGAACCACCAATGACCTCAATTGTCTTTGTAGGGAATTGAATTTGACTGGTAAAACTGGGATGAGGGGGTGGCATGGGGAAAATGGAATTCTGGTAGAATACAGGAATAATTCTGGCAAAAGAGGGTGAGCTAGGAAGCAAGACTGAGGCTACATGTAGGAGAGGAGGAAAGATAAGTTGGCAACAATTATGTGACACAGAATTAGAGCTTAACAAACACTTGTTGAGAGATACAAGCTACCTCAGCATAAGGCCTGGCAGGCAAAAGATGACAACTTCTGAAGTCTGAATGGTGTGCATGAGAGAGAGAAAGAAGAAGAAAAGGAGCCTAAGTTTATGATTTTGTCATAAAATCCTCTGGACTGTCTGAAGATTCTTCATCAGCTGATAACAAGGCAACTATTATTATGCCTTAAAGTTGAAATCCTTGTACCTAAAATTTCCTTTCCAGATACACTTGCTTAGTTTAGAGGTTCCAGAAAAGTTGGCCTGATCCCCTCCCCCTTATGATCATCTGGGAAGGGAAGGAAAAGCCAAAACATACCCTCAGGGCACCTGGTCAAGGATGTTATTAGATTATCGGAATTAGATCTGACTCTCCCATCAGCCAGACTGCTTATCTGCTGCTACTCAAATTACGCACAATTTGCAATAAAACTCATTCTCCCTCTGCTCCCTTATGTTCTATTGTCTATTTAGGCAGAGACAGGGCTTCTTAGGCAGGGTAAAAGGAAACCAAAGATCCACCTTAACCCCGAGTCAGGGACAGGACTTCTGCCTCCAAGTGACTTACCAGGCATTTCCTCTCAGACCCGACTCAAGGGAACACCCAGTTGTGACAGCCCAGCACACGCCCTTCCTGCTCTCTGTCTGCCATGCATCAGAGAGGTTTTCTGCCAGGGGCTTGTGATGCTGCCCCTGACACCAGTGATGGTCCTTGGCCTTTGCTTCCCGTCCACACATCATTTGCAGACATCTTGGAAAGACTCTCTTATGCTTTAAGCAGTGGACAACAGAACCAAGAGCAGCTGCTGCTGAGTAATTGCTGACTCGTGGTGACCCCGTTTGTGTCAGGGTAGAACTGTGCTCCACAGGGTTTCAGTGGCTGATTTTTCAGAAGGAGATCACCAGGCCTTTCTTTCAAGGTGCCTCTGGCTAGATTCAAACCTTCAGCCTTTGGGTTAGCAGCTGAGTGTGTTCACTGTTCGCACCACCCAGGTCTCCTAAGCAGCACATAGGTACAGCTTAACCTATAGCAGCCAATGTAGTTACAACACAGAGCACCCTCCTCAGCCCTCCCAGAAAGGAGACAAAGTGCGGGTTATCATATCCCTCTGGACCAGGTGGCCCGTGAGGAGAGCAGCTGTGGTGAAGCAACCACGAGAAATTGAAAGATGAAGGGACTAGTCCTGTCCTCAAGGAACCTTCAGCTTAGGCAGAGACATTCACTGATTACCTTACTAAATAAATATGTATCAAACCACAAAAAACCAAACCCGTTGCTGTCCAGTTGATTCCAACTCCTAGCAACCCTATAGGACAGAGTAGAACTGCCCCACAGGGTTTCTAAGGAGCAGCTAATGGATCTGAACTGCTGACCTTTTAGTACATACTATATATCAGACACTGTTCCAGGTGCTGGGCATAAAGTGATAAAACAAAAAAAATCCCTTTCCTCACAGAACGCAACATTCTAGCAATAAGTGAGGAGATAACCTTTCCACACATAATAAACAGAGCCAAACCAGCACAAAGTAATGCTGCATTTAGAAGAAGAAGGAGACAATACTTCTTCCCTGGAACTAGGGAGAGCCTATGAGGAGACAGGAGTGTACAGATTCTGTTAAAACTCAAATACGCCTTTATAGGTTCAAGTACATACGATCTACAGGGATGGTCATGGGACATTTAGACATTTTTGAAAAAGGTTACCACGTTGTGTCATCTCATTGGGATGACTGTTCTCCTGCCGTCCCATGGAATGGTGAGGGGATGTCGGGCTGTGGGAGGCAGACACTAGGGATTCAAGGGCCGCTGAGGAACTGGGGTTCTAAGGTCGTGTTAGGAGCCTCCTAAGAGTCAAGTTCATCATCAACTCATAATCACCTTCTCCTTCCCAGCCTAGCAAAACACATGCACTCCTGTCGGACACCTTTCACCAGTCTTCCCCCTCAGGTGGCCCCCAACAGTCACTGGACCGGATTCATCGGCATCAAGACCTTTCCTGGGGGAGCCAAACACACTATACTTTCTGCCTGTCCCAGCCTCACTATAAAATTCTGGGGTCCCTCCACAGCATGGAAGTACCTTCTGAGCACCACAACCACCGAGGAAGTGCTGTAGGGACACAGAATCTCTCTCTCTTTCTCTGGAGACCCTCCAAGTTCACGAGGGCTTAAAGTGAGCCATCCAGGAAATAAGCTTGAACGTGAGAGTTTAAAGAAAGTCACTCCAAAGCATGATAGATGGATCCAAAATTACAAGTGCAACAATCTAGATGAACATGCTTGCTTAATTTTTAAAATGTGTTTAACAAAACAACAACACAAAACTTTGCTTCCTTTGGGCCATAAATCAAGAAATTGTAGAATTCCTTTGAGCTGTCATTGATCTTAGAGGACATTTAGTTTGACTTTTTCCCCAGCTCAGCCAGGCTCCCTTCTATAGAAAGATCTTCATCAGTGGGGATCTTACTACAGGCAGGGCAACCTGTTTATTAGAGAGTCAGATGTTTCAAAAGTTCTCCTTATGCTGAATAAAAATCTGTGTCTTTATGTCCTCTACCCATTAGTCCTAGGACCGATTTGGCTAAAAAAGTAGATTAAAATTAATAATGACAATAACAATATCATCTAACTTTTATACGGAGTTCCTGGGTAGTACAAATGGTTAATGAGCTCAACTGCTAACTGAAAGGTTAGCGGTTCGAGTCCACCCAGAGGTACCTCAGAAGAAAGGCGTGGAGATGTCTTTCTGAAAAATCAGCCACTGAAAACCCTATGGAGCCCAGTTCTGGTCTGACACACATGGGGTCACCATGAGTCGGAGTCAGCTCAACGGCAATTGGTATTCTGGTATCTTATGAAGATGAGACCACCAGTTCTTCTAGGGCTTAAATGAGCTGAAACTAGGGGAAAAGGGCATCAAACTTATGTGTGACTAGAATGAGTCCCTACACTTGAACTGTCTTTCTATAACTTACATCTTGGAATTCTCACATTCTCTTTCTAAATGCAGGGATGCTACACAGAACAGAGGGACAGGCCCAAGGACAAGCTAAGTAAAGGAGGTAACTGTTTAGTTAGGTGGCACCTTAATCCTCAGGCGTACCTGCCTACCTGAAAAAGCTTCCCTAAGAAAAACAGGTTAATTTCTGTCAAAAAGAAAAAAATGCATCTCATAGAACTAGAACAGAATAGTGTCAGTTTGTGTGTTTGTGTGTGTGTGTGTGTGTGTGTGTGTGTAAGAGAGAGAGAGAAAACATCCAAAACGCTAGGCTTTTTGTTTGTTTCTTGCAATAACATCTGACTTTCACAAAAGTATTGCAAAAGCACTCTGGAAACATCATTACCTCTTTCTTATTCTATCATTTGAAACTCAAAGAGAATTCATCATCACTTCATGGGTTTCTCCTTCAGTTTGAGAAAATAGCCAGTCTCCAATGTACCTAGAATCTGGAGGGGAAAAAACAGTTTTTAAAATTATAAAATGTAACTTCCAAAACTTTACACACACAGGTAATCCCTGACTTACGACGGGATTCCGTTCTGACGACTCCCTTGTAAGTCGGTTCTAACGGAAGTCGAATATCTTTTTTATCGCCTTCCTTTTATTGACAGTATTTTTATAAATCCTATCTTTGAACATCTGCGAGTGCACATCTTTGAGAATGATAACATCAGCAAATTATGTGCTGCAATACTGCATGAAGTATGTTACTAACATTACTGATAAGATGTTCAAAAAAAAAAATAGATGATCATAAGCAAAACTCGTCGTAACTTGAATACGTTGTCAGGGACTACCTGTACGTACATACGTATGTACGTGTGTATGTATATTTAAAGAATTGGTTTGGGCTTATGTTAACCTTTTTGAAAATACTGGACTACATTATACTTTATCAATATCCCTCACTACCATGGACTTAGCACAGTGGAATTTGACACACAATTTCTGTAATTTTCTAGGCTTTTTTTTTTTTTTAATCTACTTGTTAATTTAAATCATGACCAAAACTGCCTTGACTGGATCCACCCTAACTGGCTGTACCTGAAACATTTACCACACGCGACTGCAGACAACCAAACCCCGCTGTCGCTGAGCTGACTGTGACTCATAGCGACCCCACAGGACAGAGGAGAACTGCCCCACAGAGTTTCCAAGGAGCGCCTGGTGGATTTGAACTGCCGACCTTTTGGTTAGCAGCCACAGCTCTTAACCACTACGCCACTGGGGTTTCCGCAAACAACCACGTTACCCCCAGTTTCAGCACTGCACGGTCCCCCTTCTTGCCGCGTACCCCACCTCAGCATTGTGGCAAGTTATGTGGAACAAGCACTGCAAGGAGTTCACCCCAATGTGCAGAGCAAGCCACGACTCTCACAGACCAGAGACATGGCCAGTGAGACGTGAAAAGTGTCAGCTCTGCCTCTTCTACCTAGATCCCAGGGAGCAAATACAATCACAGTGGATGAACAGATTATTCTCCCCGAGGATGCACTGAAAATGCCCAAGATCTTGAGTAAAAATGGAAAGTGCTGCAATTTTTAATGATGCAGGATTAGCTAACTCAGCTCATGGTGCTCCACGAGCTGTGGACACAGCTGCTCCTTGAGACTGTACCCCTTCTGGGGACAGCTTGTTCTCTGGACTAGCCTGCTGGCCTGACGAACACATGGGTCACCAGCCTTCCCAGGTGATCACTACTAGGTGCGGTGCAGCAGGACAGTCCAGCACCTGAAGATGCCGTTCAGAATCCCAGCTGGCTCTCTGTATTGTTCCTCTGTTCTTCTAAGCCCACTCCCAGGGGTTCCTGTTTGCCCTGCTGGGCAACAGCAGTAGGCAATGTTTTCCCAGTTTCAATTTTCCTCCCCCGCTTCAGTGAGCCAGACGCTTCGCCTTCATTTGTTTCTTCCTGTTTACAGCAGCCGCAAATGGCCTTCGGGTACGGCAGCGCACACAGAGCCATACTGCATGTGCGAGAAGCTATTCTTACAAAAACTGTCCACCTACAAAGACGTCCATGGTAACACAGCCAAAAAACCACAAAACTCTAGAAATACAGAGATAGATGCCCAATGGTCAGAAAACACTGAAACGTACTAAAAGCACATTTACTCAATGAAATACCAAGCAGTCATTAAAAAAAGATAACTGTGAAAAAAAAAATGATATTAAGAATATGATATGTGAAACACTTTATCAGAGAGAAGACTAGTGAAAAGCGCAGAATATAAAATTGTACCCAAGTGTTGATTACAGCTTTACCACAACTATAATTACACAGGAATGTGGTTATTGAAATTATTTTAGAGAAAGAAGGAACAAATAAACTAAAAAATAGAAGGAGCTGGTTGATGACCACTAGGTTGTAGGATTCTATGAGACAAAATGACAGCACTCTTGCCAGGCTTAAATATCCGTTTCACCTAGAAGTAAATTAATGCCTGAGAACATTAAGTGACTTGTCCATGATCATACAGCTACTTAGCGGCAGAAGTGAGGCTAGAATTTAGATCTCTCAACTCATGATCCAGTGCTCTTTTCCACAGACCACAGTGCTATGGGTTCATACAAATAAACCAAGGGTCTCTGCTATCTGGGGATTCAGAATCCACATCCCTACAGTCTTGAGCCTGTTTAGGGAAGCAACGCCTTCAAACACTAAAATACAGTAAAACCTGTGAAAGCCAGAATCTGTGTAAGGCGGAAGCCTATCAGAGAAAAAACCTGTAGCCGTCGAGTCAATTCCAACTCACAGAAACCCTATGGGACAGAGTAGAACTGCCCACAGAGTTTCCAAGGAGCGCCTGGTGGATTCGAACTGCTGACCTTTTGGTTAGCAGCCATAGCACTTAACCACTACACCACCAGGGTCTCCTCTATCAGAGAAGGAAAACTCAAATATTTCCCACTAAAACGAGCAATAAAAAAGTGTTAAGACTGCACCCTGTCAAAGGCAGAAAACTCGTGAAACTCGGAAAAAACTCCCGTGGAGTTCTGGCTGTCACAGGTTTCACTGTATTTTCTAATAACCAACCAATTTATGACTTGAGTCCCCACTCAGAACTCGCTCCTTGCTCAACAACAGCATCTCTGCCTGATCACGTCTGCTAGTGTCCTGCGTGTCCCACAAAACGACCTTTGTCTGCTGCAAAGCCAAACGGCAAATCTTGCCCCCAAAACACAGAATTTCATCCGGGGAATTCAAATTGACATTAGAGAACGTCCCCAACAACAGGTCAAACAATGACAAACGGGGACCTGCAGAGTTTGACCAAACAACAATTGTTTGAGAAAAATAGCAAAAGTTGGTGGCAAGACAGGGATTTCAACAGAGAATGATTTTAATATTAAGGATCTAAAAGACCCCAAAGGAAAATGACCAAGACCTCAACTCCGTTTGTAAAGCTGACCATCGTTATGTCAAATGTGAAATAAAACGCACCATAAATATATTGTCATACAAGTTTGCCCAAAATTCTACTTCCCCCCAAACAATCAGCATCTGATTTCTGCTTTGCGCATTCTGTAAGCTAGTCCACAATCACAACGATAAAATAAATTTTGTTAAATTACAAATGAAAACTTATTTTCATTTTCAAGATAAAGTGCCAAAGCTTTATTTCATTAGGTTATGAAATTTTGGTCCCCATTTAAGTGGATTCACTTTAAATGGCTTTTTTTCTGGTTCTAATTATCCTCGGCTAACAAAGACCTGCTGTAGAAGCTTCAGAATGAATTTTTTTAAGTATAAATCAGTAATATGAAAGATATTTATATCGTTTTAAGCCAAGCATACATTTTAGAAGCAGAAACTTTAGATCCGGAATACGCAAAGTAAAGGACACCATGTGTTTATTTTGTCTCTCTTCCATAAAAAACAAATGCATTTTACATTTCATATTGTGCAAAGTAAAGAAAAAAATGTTTTAAGTTACGAAATCACAAATGACTGTATTTGTCTCGATTCTTTCAACAAGTGTGAAAGTATAATAATGTATTTGCCATCTTGAATTACAGAATGAAGTTTCCAGTTACAACATCCTATTTTATTTGAACACCATGGGAAATCCTTCATGTGGTTCTTGCTAGTTGCTGATTTGCGTATTGTGACGGGTTCCATCATCTGTCATTATCTGTGGTTCTGGAGAATTCATGATCTGAACTTCACTTGAGAACGTTCATAATGGCTGAGTTTCCCTATGTTCAAAGTGTATATTAGGTGAAAATAGTTAATATTCAGGGCTTTCTAGCATTCATTTAGATAATGGTATCTCTTCTAGTATCATCAAAACACAAGGCTTCATTTTAGAAACATCAATTACTCAGAGGAACATTTTCTTCTAGAAGAGCAAGAAAAGTAAAAGAATTATTTTTTTTCCCCGTTAAGTGAAACTGCAACATTCTACAGTAGAAAGATATTTTTCTTTTACTTTTCAATCTGTGACAATATTAACCCTTTGCCGTCGAGTGAGTTCTGACTCACAGAGATCCTACAGGACAGAGTAGAACTGCCCCATACCGTTTCCAAGGAGTGCCTGGTGGATCTGAACTGCCGACCTTTTGGTTAGCAGCCGTAGCTCTTAACCACTACACCACCAGGGTTTCCGTGACAATATCAGGAGTCTGAATAACAAGTAACGAATAAGTTAAAGTATGCGGATAATAAAATATTTTTTTTTAAGATTCATTTACTGGGGACTTTATCAAGCTTCTGTGATCAAAATAACAATTTATGGTTCCGTTAGTTTATTAATCCTATCTTGAAGGTGAAGACCAATATTATTGACTCAGTCTTTCTGTCAAATTTGCTTCTCTCGCAAATGAATGTAAATCCATGGCTCAAGGTTAAAGTGTGGCTAATGGTCCTTCCAGGTTTCCAAGGACAAAAAGGCCCCAGCTACCTGAGGCCACCTGAGGCTGAATGTAAAGCAAAGATAATGGAATATCTGCCATGCTCTACCGTAGGCCCATGAATTATTTCACCACCATTGTCTATGAACAAAAAGAAAACTAAACTCAAAAGTATCCTCCCAAATCTTTGAGACTCAAGGTAAATAAAACAGATGAGCTGCTCTGCTCTGGATTCCTTTCCAAAAGGAAATCAGCGAGGGGTGCTCTGAGCAGCTGCAGTCCCTGGCTGGTGTAAATGGTTAACTCACTGGGCTGCTAACCCCAGGATTGGAGGTTCGAGTCCACCCACAGGCACCTCAAAAGAAATGCCTGACGATCTACTTCCAAAAAATCAGCCACTGGACTAATGGACCACAACTACCACAGCCTCCACCAGACTGAGTCCAGGACAACTAGATGGTGCCCGGCTACCACCACCGACTGCTCTGACCATGATCACAATGCAGGATCCCGGACAGAGCAGGAGAAAAATGTAGAACAAAATTCTAACTCACAAAAAAAAAAGACCAGACTTACTGGCCCAACAGAGACTGGAGAAACCCTGAGAGTACGGCCCCTGGACACCCTTATAGCTCAGTAATGAAGCCACTTATTAATGAAGTCACTCCCTAGGTTCACCCTTCGGCCAAAGATTAGACAGGCCCATAAAACAAAATGAGACAAAAGGGGCACACCAGCCCAGGGGCAAGGACTAGAAGGCCGGAGGGGACAGGAAAGCTGGCAATGGGGAACCCAAGGTCGAAAAGGGGAGAGTGTTGACATGTCCTGTGGTTGGCAACCAAAGTACAAAAAAACAAAATCAGCCACTGAAACTCTACGGAGCATAGTTCTACTCTGGCACGCATGGAGTCTCCAAGAGTCGACAGCAGCTAGAACTGGAACTGGAAGGCTCTCAGCAAGTATGGTGGTCAATAAACACCTTGAAACTCAAAGACCATGGGAATCCCTGCTCCAGCTCACTCAGTTAAGTTACTATCAACCTCAGTCAAGAGCCTTTGATGTTTTACAACCACAAAAAGGAGGTTTTTGAGCAAGGAAGCTTGATCAAACCATAGGAGACAAAAATGATGAATTTGGCTCCTTATTTTTGGCAAACTGACATACATCAGCAGACATTCCTGAACAGTAAAACGTCCTTAATGGAAAAGCATTAGTAACTTCCCATCAACCACGAGAGATGATATGGTGAAGGTGGTAAACCAGACTGGCACCCCGTCTTGCTCACTGTTCTTTTAGACCTGGATACAGGAGGAGCAAGCTCCACGGGACGAGAGCGCAGGCTCAGTGCTTGGTTCAGGGACTTACTACAGTGGGCGAGCTTCATATTTCTCTAAACCTGTCTACTCTTCTGTAAAATGGGTATAAGAACACCCTCCTAAGGTTCTTATTAGCTTTAAATGAGATAATCAGTGTGAAGCATGTAGCACCGTGCTTGACACACACGAAATGTGCAGAAGCTTAGTTACTGTTTTTCCTGCTACACACAGAACAGAATAACTTTCTACTGTTTCTGAACCTTGAGGGAGGCTGCATTAAATAAGTTTTCTCTACTTAGAGCTGACCCTTTCCATCCAAAACAGTGACTAGGAATTTACTTTTATTACTGTGAACATGCAGAATATATAATACCTCAGGATGCACTATTCTAAAATCCTTTTTCCTAAGCTACTGCAGAATGGGTATGACCCATAAGGTTTTGGTTCAATGACCACGAACACTGACATGAACAACATCATGATCAATGGAGAAAACAGTGAAGTTGTCAAGCAGTTCATTTTACTTGGATCCACAATCAACGCCCAGGGAAGCAGGAGTCAAGACATCAAAGGACACACTGCACTGGGCAAATCTGCTGCAAAAGACCTCTTTCAAGTGTTAAAAAGCAAAGATGTCACTTTGAGGACTAAGGTGCGCCTGACCCAAGCCAGGTATTTTCAATCGCCTCGTATGCATGTGAAAGCTGGAAAATGAATAAGGAAGACTGAAGAAGAATTGATGCCTTTGAATTATGGTGTTGGTGAACAATACTGAATATACGGTGGACTGCCAAAGAATGAACAAATCTGTCTTGGAAGAAGTACAGCCAGAACGCTAGAAGCAAGGATGGCAAGGCTTCATCTCATGTACTTTGGACGTGTTATCAGGAGGGGTCAATCTCTAGAGAAGGACATCATGCTTGGTAAAGTAGAGGGTCAGTGAAAGAGAGGAAGACCCTCAATGAGACGGATTCACACAGTGGCCGCAATGATGGGCTCAAGCATAACAACGATTGTAAGAATGGTACAGGGCCGGGCAGTGTTTCGTTGTGCTGTACACAGGGTCGCTATGAGTCAGAACCGACTCAACGGCACCTAACAACAACACTGACATGAGGGTTGTGGTGGCCCAGTGGTAGAATTCTCACCTTCCATGCAGGAGACCTGGGTTCGATTCCCAGCCGATGCACCTCACGTGCAGCCACCATCCATCTATCAGTGGAGGCTTGTATGTTGCTATGATGCTGAACAGGTTTCAGCCGAGCTTCCAGATTAAGACAGACCAGGAAGAAAGGCCTGGTGATCTACTTCCTAATCAGCCAACGAAAACCCTATGGATCACAACAGTCTGATCCCATTGTGTATGGGGTTGCCAATAGTCAAGGGTCGACTCCACGACAGCTAACGACAACACTGCCATAGCACTCACAATGGATCAGGCATTCCGAGCGTCTCCACATGTCCGCTCGTTTAATCCTCATAACAACCCCAGGAGGTAGGAATATCATTATCCCCATTTTACAGATCAGGAAACGGAGACACACAATGCTTAAACAACTTGGCCAGGTGTCAGAGCCAAGCCAGTGTTCCAACAAGGCAGGGCTGCTCCAGACCTCATTACAGAGTCTCTGTTTTG